TCCTCTAGATGAGGAGATTTACCTCTGCTGACACTGAAATTCTTACAGTAGATTGACTATATTATGAAAAAAATATAAAAAGGAAATTATATTATTCTGTTAAAGGTGTGTTCACTTTATTATTTATCATTTTTCTCCCAACACATGATTTACAGACCTTCTGTAGTCATTATATCCACAGGAATTTGAGATGGGAAAAGTTCTGGGCCGTTCAATCCAAGGCATTGTTGCAGCCGCACTTGTATGTACTTTTAATGTCTGATTAAGCTCCTGCTAATTACTGTTGCTTTATAAATGAAGATGGACCAAACTTAGGCTGAAAATTGGGAGATTTCTATCCAACAACAGAGAAGGCTTTTGGAAGAGTCTTTTATTACAGTTGGAATACAGAAGACGAAAGGAAAAGAGGAATTTAGATTTCTGGGACCTTGTAAAATCCCGTATCGGTGGTTTCCTCGTTTCTGATTACACGTTAAGGATCTTGTCCTGTGCCTGCCCGTCTTGCCTTTAGTAGATGCTTTGTTGACTTTTAGTGTTTTGGCTTTGTCAGATCCTTGGTGGACAAATAACTTTATCTCTCTCTGTTTATTTAAAGCTAAATTTGTCATCGTCATAAGAATACTGCTTAGCCAAGATGCGTGTGCTGTAAATCCGTGGCGCTGGACATGAATTCTATTATTCACCCTTAATTCTTTTTTAATAGAGTCTTCTATCATCTGTTCTGTGATTTTGTCCCTGATCAATATGAGGTGGAGAGGCCAATAATTACCTGGTCATCCCATTTACCCCTGCAAAATTCATGCAAGGCGTGCTGTTAGTTTTTCATTTGATTTTTCTGGACCCCCCCCAAATATATGAAGGCGTCATGAAAATCAGTGTTGATGGTGGTGGAGTTTGAAACTGTCATGATTTTCTGACGGAGCAAACTGTTCACACTGCAGCATCCGTCTTAATTCAGAGTATATGAGGATGTGAAATACCTTTTACAGCTTTTAATTGATGGGATAGAGCTTGCTCGGAGCTCAGGCCTCCTATCTAAAACCTCACAAGAGGTACAAGTAATGAATGAATTTAGCTGTCGCCCCGTGGCCAGGCGTGTTTTATTGCTCGTGCTTTGTTCGTAGGTCAATCTTGAGCCTGATGAGGCCTAACGACTTACACAGCTTCACGTGGGGCTCAGCCAAAGAATGAAAACGCGGATCTGGAGCGTCGCGGCAAGCGCGAGCGGCAATCGGACACAGAAGTGAAATTGTTCTTGCCCCGTTGCGGTTCAGACAGACAGTGTAGTGCACGCTGTTATCAGATCGGCGTGAGAGATAGGCTGCACGTGCTGATACAACCTTTTGAAATTTGAGAATTTAATTAAGCCTCCAAATCCATAAATAGCACTTTTTTTTTTTTTTAAATAAACCATTTTATATTAATTTTCATTTCCAAAGAGCAGCTGGGGAAAGAGAACTTTGTTCTCTTGCTTTATGTATGGCTTTATTTGCTTCCCATGGATGTAAATATTCTACGCAGACGGCAGAATTCAACCACCGAACAGAAAGTCAAAAGTCCTTGTTATAGATGAATGGGATGTTGCAAACTTTACAGTCACTCATAAATCTTGCTGTACGTCCATGTGATTAATGTCTAACAAGGTTTTTGATTGATGGCTTAGTGAGTACTAATCAGGTATTATGGGACCAAATCATGAAATCCCTTACTTCGTTGGTCAAGGCAAGCTCCTGTTCGCTTAGATAGGCAGGAAAATGTCTGGCTTTTCTTTTCTTTTAAGTGGAATTTAAAGTTCTAGCTTGCTGTGGCTTTTAATAAGTACATGGCCAGGCCACAACTTCAAACGTTGAAATATGATACTGATTAAAATCCTCCACCAGAATTATGGGAGGTGATTCTGCCCCTCTACTCTGGTGAGACCCCACCTGGAGTACTGCATCCAGCTCTGGAGCCCCCAACATAGGAGAGACATGGACCTGGTGGAGCGGGGCCAGAGGAGGCCATGGAGATGATCTGAGGGCTGGAGCCCCACTGCTGGTAGGAGAGGCTGGGAGAGTTGGGGTTGTTCAGCCTGGAGAAGAGAAGGCTCCGGGGAGACCTTATTGTGGCCTTCCAGTCCCTAAAGGGGCTACAGGAGAGCTGGGGAGGGACTTTTGACAAGGGC